GGAAATGATTGCGATAAACGATAAAATTGTCGGCACCATTGTATGACCATTTTAGACCACTGACATAATAATAATTCAAGTAGGCCTACATCCTTTCAAACTGCTAGTCACATCCTCATGTAAATGGCAATGTATATCGAGGTCAGAAAAGTTATGGAGTGCATTTTTATTTATCGTACGATAAGTCAATTAATTGTTTATCGCGACAGGCCTATGCACACAATAAAACAGTGGAAACAAACATGTGTTTGACTTTCATTAGTGAATGAAACTGTGTGCCCTTTATAGTCTGTGTCCAATATTGTGTATTTGTATATATATATATTAGGGCCGGGACTTTAACGCGTTCATTAAGATTAATTAATTACACAAAAATTAACGCGTTAAAAAAATTAACGCATTTTAATCGCACTTATTTTTGCACCGCGGAACGTTTCTCACTGGATGAGTTTCAGGCGTACCGATTATACTGGAGCACCAACTAACGTTCATGACTTCAGACAACAACAAACCACAGTGAACAACAGTGGGAAATGTTGTTTTAAAAAACGGACGGATGGAAGCGTCGATAAGAGCACGGTTGTGTGCAAATTATGCAAAAAAGAATTCGCATATCACCGCAGCACATCAAGCCTCAAGTATCACCTCAATGCAAAACATATAGCAGCTAGCGTGGACGTTAGCCTCTTTTATCGCGTTCACACCAAAAAGAGCCGGTACTAAAATTAGTTCATGAGAACAGAGGTGTGGACTCGAGTCACATGACTTGGACTCGAGTCAGACTCGAGTCACACATTTTATGACTTGAGACTCGACTTGACAACATCACAAAAGACTTGCGACTCGACTTGGACTTGAACACCAATGACTCGGGACTTGACTTGGACTTGAGCCTTCTGACTTGAGGTGACTTGATACTTTAATTCAGAGGTCTCCAACACGCCGATCGCGAGCTGCCGCTAGAAGAGAAGACTCCCGTCGGGGAAAGCAGAATCTTCAGCCGCTCCTACTCTTGCTGAGAATCCTTGCAGGCAGGGGCGGGTCTTTATTTAGCTGGGCCACCATGCGGCCAATCATATGCAAGGACACACTAGGTCATACCATTATGTGAAAGAAGGGTGGGGGGCACAGCATGTGTAGTGGTACAGGCCAGCTGCACAGAGCGACGGGGAGACGGGAAGCCGGATTTAAATGCAAGCGCGTCGGAAAAAGTCAAGAAATGAGTGAAAACCGAAAAAAGAAGTAGCATCTGGCTGCTTGTCAATGATATTGGAGAAAGCAAAGCTGAGTGCAGGATTTGGAAAATGAAAATAACCTTCAGAGCAGGGTTTTGTTTTGGTAACCACTCAGGATTTATTGTCAGAGGTGGGAGAAGTTCAGACAATTTAAAAAAAGTTACAATCAGGGTTCCCGCGGGGGCTTAACAAGTCTTAAAAAGTCTTAAATTTGATAATCAGAATTTAAGGCCTTAAAAAGGTCTTAAATATGATTCAGAAGGTCTTAAAAATTATCGGATTTGAAAGGTACTTCTGCGTTGCGATAGCGTCTAAATGTGTTTTGGGGGAAATGTCCGGGCTGCAATTAACCAGTGCGGTAATAGCCTTTCAGTTCCCCCCAACAATTTGTATTGAATTAAATCAACATGGAACCAGTAATAACTAACTTTGTTTCCCCCGGCCCCTTATTGGAGAACACCCAGCTAGTAACCTATCAACCAAGCTTCAGCTCATGTAGCCTATCTTCGAATCTACTTACAAATAAATATGCTGAAGTGTAAGTTCAACCGTATTTGGTTGGAAAACATCTAATTTAGTGCTTGGTTGAAACCAGTGGAGGGAACGTGTTTGAAGCACGCTGCACCTTTTGCAAAATAAATTAGTGTTTGTTTTGCTAATGTAGCGTTAGCTAGTGCAGCAGCAGCTAATGTAGCGTTAGCTAGTGCAGCGTTAGCTAATGTAGCGTTAGCTAGTGCAGCAGCAGCTCCCGCAACAACACCGGGGGACCTCCGGGCGAAGTTTGGGTCTACGTCAACCCTAAAAGCGGAGGTGCTGTAGACGCTAAATACCGTAGCTAAACACCAATCATACAACAGCAACGATGAAATAGTGTAGCCAAGGCAGCAGAGCTCTGAATATAGCTCTTGTCACTCTCTCTCTCACACACACACACACACACACACACACACACACACACACACACACACACACACACACACACACACACTAGGGCTGCTCGATTATGGCAATAATCAAGATTATGTTGGTCAATAATTAATATCACGATTATTAAATATGATTATTCATTGACTTTGAAAACATCCATTTATTGAACTTTAAAACAAATAATAATTTGAACAGTATCTTTTTAACTATTGATTACCCTGAACGTATAATTCCACTGAAAAACCAATACAAAAATTAATTAAATAAATGATACATTAGTAAAAAATTAATTAGATCAAATATGTTGTAGTGCACTGTCACAACCTAGCAAAGCAAAATAATAGTTTTTTCCGATTATGTTGTTTTCGTAATTGTGGCAGGCCAAAATCGTAATTGCGATTAAAATATGATTAATTGCACAGCCCTAACACACACACACACACATACACACTTTTTGTCTAACACGCTAACACAGTTCTGTACTGTTATGCTGTTGTGTTCAGTCATTGTTCTTATGTTGAACATGAATACATTTACTTTGTAAGTGATTATGGGACGTATTTCTTCTTTATATACATTTTCCTTCATACTTTATTGCCGTGAAATAGGTCTTAAATTCTATTCAAAGTGGTCTTAAAAAGGTGTTAAAAAGTTTTAAATTTGAGTTGGCGAACCCTGTACAATAAAAAGTCCTGCATTCAAAATGTTACAAGTAAAAGTACAAAAGTATTAGCATAAAAATATACTTAAAGTACCACCTGCAGAGGGATCTAGATTCAGGTGTTCTTTTCCCCGCCTCGCTGCACATTATCCCTTGCATAAAGATAGATCGTGGGTCCCTTATAACATGTTGTACACAGTGGAAATAAACATTCTGGTTACCTCAACATCAGGGATCTTATTCATTAAACTCCTTCTGAATCAAACCGTCACGGTAGCCTTACCTTACTGATCCCTCTTAAATTAGAAAAACACACGTTACTTTACCAGCAGAGAGAAAATGGATTATTAAATTATTAATGTGACTAATAAAGAGCAATTTGATTATTAAGTATTATTCTGTTGATCGATGTCATTACATTTGGTGAAAAACACATAATGACTTGTTTATGACTCGTTTTGTCAAAGTTTAGGACTTGGACTTGACTTGAACTTGACCATCCTGACTTGAGACTTGACTTGGAGTTGCAAAACAATGACTTGAGACTTGACTCGGACTTGAGCGCAAAGACTTGAGACTTGACTCGGACTTGCAAAACAATGACTTGGTCCCACCTCTGCATGAGAACCTTTTTACCCCCACGAAAGTCCCTGCTAGAGAGCAGAGAGCTGCTAGAGAGCAGGGACTTTCGTACGGCTCTCTTGTGAGAAAAGAGCTATATTTCTGATTGGCTGGGCGGATTGCAAACCACGCCCCGTAAAACTCCCAAAAAGTTTTGTGAAGCCGCCATTTTATTATCCTCGCATTAGCATGATTAGCATTAGCCCAGCGCAGAAACGCAGAGAGACTAACTTATGGCAACACAAAATAAAACATGGGAGCGGTGGAGATGAGGAGGTGTCGGCGTTCTGGCGATTTACTCGGAAGGCTTCAGTAGAAGCTGCTGGGACTCCCAGCAGCTTCTACTGAAGCCAGTCCCCAACTCCGGGGACTTTGGGCGGCAGTATACGCCGTGAAGTGGTTTGCGGCCTGCCAGTAAACCCAAAGCAGAAGAAGAAGAAGTGACGTCAGCGGCTCCATTTGCCTAATCCACCCCCAGGTTCAAAGAGTTCTCATGAACTAAATTCTCATGAACCTTTGTGGGAAAAGTACTGCGGTGTGAATGCGCCTAATGGTATACTAAAATCCATGTGAAAAAAATTGCTTCTCACTGTTCTTAGGTCAAATATTTATATGTGATTAAAAATGCGATTAATTTCGATTAATTAATTACAAAGCCTCTAATTAATTAGATTAATTTTTTTAATCGGGTCCCGGCCCTAATATATATATATATATATATATATATATACATATAGGCCTATCCTATATATATGCTAAGATCCCGCTACTGACACGATAGCAGTCATTTAGTGCGCATATGTGTAATTAAACCCATGATATCAAAATCTCACTCCAGCCAGGTACTCAATCTCACTCTCTGTATTTAGTCTTTCCCTGTGTTCCCCTGTCGGTTCATTGTTTGTTTTTCCTGTCTTCCTCCATGTCAGTCACGGTCAGTTTTTCGGGTATGTTTCTTCCTTGTGCTACCGTTATGTTCATGTCATGTTTTTTGTCATCGGCTTTTGAATAAAGCTCGCTTTTTGTTTATAGACCTTTTTTACCTTTTTTGTAGTCTGCTTTTGGGTCCTACCTTTTTCCGCGATTCGTAACAGTGATGATCATAACACCTCCAGGATTATGTCTAGTGTGTCACCTCAAGGCAACGTGTGTTGTAAAGTTAGAGTGTCGATTACCTGTGTAATTGTAAGTGTGTATTGTAGTTCAGAAAACCACATGATATGTTCCTCAATAGCCTATTGCTCCACACAGTCGGAACACACTTTTAGGTTTCAGTGCCGTCTGTGTTATTTTGAGACAGAGGCGGAGGAGGTGATGCTCAGACTTTTCCGAAGTGAGGCGGTGATGAGGCAGGCAGGTCTGGGCACGCCCAAGCCCCCTGACACCCTGCCACCTCACTGGGACCACATTGGTGTGATCACACCTGGATGTGTGTGTGTGTGTGTGTGTGTGTGTGTGTGTGTGTGTGTGTGTGTGTGTGTGTGTGTGTGTCGGTCCTTTTTGAACAATCTTAAAGTGAATAATGTCCAGTATTTTGTTTTCCACCATTATAACCGGAACTCGATTTTACTGTTTTATTATATTTCATTTAAATTTGATGTGTGTGCTTTCCTGTGTGTGTGCTCTGCAGAGTGATCTGTCCCTCACCAGACTACCCATTCTATAAGATGTCCCAGTCCACTGTTGCTGAAGAAGGAGGCACCTTCGAGCACCTGTGGGGCTCCCTGTGAGTGTCAACAACACCTCATGAAGATTGTTTTATTTTCTCTTCATAAACATATTTTCCACCTTTATTGTTTTTATTTAAAAAGGGATATTGATCAGGCCATGATGAGAAAACACATGTCATTTTCTCATCAGCTGCTACAAACCAAAATTGTGCTTTGTTTTAATAGCAGCAGTGTGGGGAAAGTGACATCTTGGGCTTAAAATGCCTTAGAGGTTTTGATGTGAAGACGTAACAAAATCACAGTCAAGGGCAAATGCTGGACTTCCATCTTTTGTTTTGTGTGCTTTTCTCTTCACTTGAGGAAAAGCAAAGAACTTCGAAAGCATTTCGGAATTTTTACGATTTACTGAACCTTCTGGGAGTTTTCCAAGTGCTTTATACGAAAACAACAATTTTAAAACACCAGTCTCTAAATGGTTCAAATCCCACAATAGCATTTTTTATATTGGATTAAAGTCTGCTTTTATTTTAAGGCTTTTTTTTTTCTTTTTCTCCCGTTGAAAGCACTTGGAAAATACCAGATTGCATAAAAAAAAGTCCCTATATATATATATATATATATATATATTAATATCAAGAATTAACTTTATCTAACCTTGTTGGTAAGTTTTTATTCTACAACAATGTTTTACAAAGGTCTGTTACTTTGCTGATCAGGTTTGTCATGTTACGCGTTTGTGCTTTGTTCATTTTATGAAAAGTCGTCCTCTTGACCAACTTTCATCCATGGGTTGTGTGTTCACAGGGAGCCAGACAGCACCTACTTTGAGCTCCCCCCAGGCAGCCAGTCAGGAGAGCGTCCACTGCCTTCTACCAGCACTCCGGGGAGCCACTGCAGCGCTGCTGAGGTCTCCATGGACATCTACCAAATGAGGGACATGAATGACAACGTGATGGTAAGAACGAGTTTCCGTTGATGTTTTGTTTGTGGTCATTTCTATGGTCAATCCCTTGCTTTTAAAAAGCAGCAGCTCTTTTCTATTCCATGCATTATGTTAACATCTTCTGTGTCAGATAATGATTATTTTGTAAGCACACGCATGCACACACTTCCAAAGAGATGTTCCTTCCCATTCTGTCTGTTGCTTTCTCTTTTTCCCTCCAGTGTTGAGGAAATTCCCTCCCTAATAGTTTCCCTCTTCTCTGCAGCCTTTTCCCTCTCTTTATCCCCCTGCAGAGCAGCCTGTAGGGACTGTGGGGGTGTGGGTGGGAGGAAGGCTAATTAACTCCAGGCCCCTTGCTGCTTTACCTTAGAGCCATCTGTAGGCTGTGTAGGGTGTGTCTTTGCAAATTAACAACCATGCACAAATGTTTTAGATGGTTGTAAACCTCATAATTAATTAAGAGGTTTTCACAAAAGGAATTTAAAAGCATGCTGTTTAGTTTGTTAGTATTTCACAAATGGTCAAGATTTTTGCAGAATTGCACTGTTTATTTTTGGACATATTTTGTCCACTCTACAGTCTCTGTCTTTCAAACATGGAATCATAAAAAAAAAATCCAACATGAGCCTACTATGTGTTTCCTCCCCTATTGATCTGCTATATTGGTTGAATCTAATCTTTGGAGGGACAAGCCTGGGCCTGCCTGGCCGGTTAATGAATAATCATGACAGAAATAAGGGGGTGGAGTAAGGATTTGTTGTTGGGCACCTATGCAAGGCAAGTTAAGAAGGCCCAGTCAGGCAAGGGAGAAGAGTGGAGGAGGAGGAGAGAGGCAGGATGTCCCCTGCTTCCTCCATCATGTCCCGCTGGCAGCAGAGAGCTCTAATCTTACAGTCACACTTGATCACAGCAGACTTTAAGTCCTATGATAGTCGGGTCGCAGAGAAATAGGAACTACTAATCTTTCAGGAGCCCTCAGATGCTGTGTGCCATGGTAAGTGAACCAGAATACATTGTTTTTGGTTCTCGCATATTGAGGCCTTTTTTAAAATGTTCATAATTTAGATTTACTGTGTTAGTGACGATGGTTTGTGCAGTGTATAAGTTTGGTACAGGCTACAGGGACACTGTTTCCAAATGTGTGGAAAACCTTTGAAAGAGTGAATCAAATGTTCATGACTTTGTTAGATATTTGAACAACAAGCCGCTGTCACCTTGTATTTTTGATCATGCATAAGAATGGCCATGGCTACTTCATTTTAATATAGCAAGATTAGATATATATTCTGGTATAATCAGGCTGCTTTGATTATTATTACATTACAAGTGGATTCATTTGGAAAGACAGCTGGTGACTCATGTCATTTTTTATCTAACCACTAGATCAGGGGTGTCCAAACTACGGCCCGCGGGCCATTTTGAATCGGCCCAAATTCAAAAAGTTGAAAGTGAAAAAGATGAAACTTGTGCTTGTCTTATATTGTACTTCTTAAATATAGATGAAAACAGATATTACACAGTATTCATGCATAAGAAGCCCACTTTTCAAACAAATTCAGTCAGTTAAAGTTGCATTTTCTTTCTATCAAATCTAAGTTGATAAGAAAAAAGCCCAATAACTTATTTCCATAACATGCTTGAAATAAACCCTTCCTATTTCCTCTTATGATAATCAATCTGAGGCTTCTGTTTTAAGGGATGAGCTGCTAACAAAATAAACGAAACCCTATGGAGAGCTGGGATGTCGGCTGTTGTTTTTCTTAAACCATATTCAAGTATTAAACATAATTTACCTACATTTGATTTATTTTGCTGACTTATGACTTAACTTATGAGGCAGTATCTCACCTCAGTGGCCCAGCCCTTCGTATATTTTTCTGTATGTGGCACCCGATGAAAAAAGTTTAGACACCTCTGCACTAGATGCAATGAATGTCTGTAATCCAGTGGTTCTCAAACTTTTTCTGTCAGGTCCCCCCTTTGGAGAAAATAAAAAGTTGGGCCCCCCCCAACACAAATAGTTACGTAATGGGCCAAGTTAACATTTATTAAAATACATCAATATGAACGTGAGCATTCCTTTCAAAAAATAAAAAAATCACTTTGCTAGAACAGTGATAATTAAACAATGCTCCATAAGTCTGTGTGCTCAGAAAAATAAATACATAATACAATTGTGCAATCCCTTTGCTAGAACAATAAATTATAATACTTTGCCACTTTGCAATCTGTGCAAAAAAATGAAAAGAAAAAAAATGCAGATATTTGGCAAAAAAGTGTGTCTTGTTATCACAGCATTAGTGGCTGCAATGAGCCTGTTTTGCACTGCACATTTCTTCAAAACGGGGTTGCAGGCTCAGTGGCGGCGCCAGAGATTTATTTTGGGGGTGCTGTGGGGTAGCTTGACGTTTCATAGAGGGTGCTCAATGTAACCGGTCGCTACAGTGGAGTTTTCTACTGCAACATTCCCCACGCAAATACACAGTGTGCCGGCGACTGTTACAATGAAGGCTCGATAATCAGCTCACAGCATATAGGTGTAAGCAGGGGTAAAGTTGTATTTTTATAGGTGGTGTGTGGACCTCACATAGGGGGGTCCGGTGGCATGCTCCCCCGGGAAGATTTATTTTTTAAATATTGAAGTTAAAAGCATCAATCTGGTGCACTTTGAGAGCAAAATGAAGAGATCTATGGATACATCTCTCAACACCCATTTCAAACAGAACTGTAAACAGATTTACTTTTTCTCTATGGATATTTGACAAATTACCCTTTTAAACTTTATTCTTTTTTTACTGTCATATAGTATTTCATACCTGTTTTTCATTTATTCTCTTACTTTTTTATAACTATAATGATCATATAAACGTGTGCCTTGGAAATAATTGTTTACATTAATCGTGACCAAACCGTTTGAGACCCACTGAGATAACTTGGACTAAAGTGAACTATCTAAACACAGAGAGAGTCCTTTAGTTCACTGAGTCCCTCAGTCTGACAGGAGAGGACTCTCCTCCACCTTGTTATTGAAAAAGCTCCTTATATCCGTTAGAGTAGTTCGCTAGCACCAGAAGCTAACAACAACGATCTCCGGTACCAGTGCTCTCTCTCTCGCTCGCACACAAAATGGCTCGTTCCACACACACACAGAGCCGAGTTTGAATGAAACACAAAGACCCAGACGTACTTGTACTGTATCATATTATTTTCGAATCAATAATTTCTTTCTAACCATTTTTCCTCCTGGTCTCTCGCGCCCCCCCCCCCCCCCCCCCCCCCCCCCCTGTCATGCCTCTGCGGCCCCCACTTTGGGAAACACTGCTGTAATCTTGTAAAATTGTGTGATGTTTTTTTAAAATTTGTATTTATTTACAAACAGTATGCAGGTTGGCATGAATGTGCAACTGGTTAAGTTTCTCCCGTTTTTGCACTTTGCCAAAAATACCCAACAGGGGGCAACCTTCTATCACATCGATTCACATTTTTCCACCTCTCATCCTCACCTCTACTTAACATATCTTGCGTTGTTAAGGCATGCTTCAGATTTAATATGATGCCATATCATCAATTCAGACTAAAGTTTGATTTTGGTCATGTTTCCTTTTGGCCAAACGGGGCCCTATGTGTCCCAGTGTTGTTAACTGTTTAATAAGTAGCTGGAATCAGAGGTCATTATGTAGTGATACTGTCTTTATAGTCAGCTCATTGTTTCACTCATCTTGACAAGTGGCAAGTGAGGGTTGTTGTGGCTGGATTATCTACGTTTCTTAATGTTTGTAGCCTTTAAAGCTCAGCTTTGAATGGCAGCTACCAGGATGGCTGCCCATAGGGGACACTAGATGATGTTGGGATGGGAAGCTTTAACACTTACACACACTGTGAACACACACAGTGAACACACACACACACAGCTCACAAAGTGGCGGCAGAGGTTTTAGCTCTGTTTCAACTTGTTGCAGATTGAGTTTAGGTATTAAGACCAAGCACACCTGTGAGAGAGTGGTGTGTGTGTGGTTAAGTGTTTTTCTTTCTTTTGTTGACGCATACACCTGGGCTAACCTTGTGCCTTTAAGCCCCTTTGACAATACCTGTCAGAAGAAGATTTCAAAGGGAATAAACAGTCAGATATTAACGGGCGAACACATAATGACTCTTTTGTACAGTATTTTCACGAGAAAACAAACGCCATAGCACATCAGCCTAAATACTATTTTCCAAATTTGTCATGATGGTGAACACATTTTTATCCCAGCAAATTATGAAGTGGCCCTATTTTCCTAGCTAACTGGAAATTACACATTTAAAATGATTTGATTTAGACTTTCAACAACACGTTTATTTTCAGAATTCATCAGCCTATTAATTGTTTTGTTTTCCAAAATATCAATAATTTGTAAACATGCTATGCATCTTCAAAGTACGTCTCCTATAAGACTAAGAAAATCTAATATTTATCACATTTGAAAACCTGAGAAAGTGGTATAGGTATTTTTTACTAAAAATAATGAATAATAATCCATTCAAAACAGGCATCAGTTGTTTTAAACCCGGCTGTCTTTTACTGTTTGTGTATTATGTTAAAGTCAATATGTGCACACCCACACATAAGTGCATCCTCATTTAACCTACACAGTTTGCATTAAGTCTAGGTCATTGACCTGTGCTTTCATATTCAGGAAACCATGGCAATGAGCTTACTACCCTTGTGCAACTTTGTCTCAGTTTGTCTGTGTTAGTCATCAGTGTCTGATGCTTTGTTGAAAATAGAAAACAGAGGTGAAGTGATGGTGTATATTGCTTCAGGTTGGATTTATAACTTAGAATATGGTATAGGCAAATATAACAAGTTCAGGTGCCCTCAGTCTAAAAACGAACATAAGGTGTGCAATAGGGTAACCAGGTGAAAGATCGTAATGTTTTTCAAACATCAAGCTGGCATTCCCACGATATCTGTCGTGCTCCCTTTACTCAGGGTGCAAAGAAAATACGAACAAAATAAATTAAATTCCTTGATTAAGATCCTGTTTGTTTGTTTTTCTCGACAAAAAACGATTGACTGGTCAAGGAGTTTTTTAGTTTAATGTGCAGGCAGAATCTCAAAACTATATTATTGTAGTCACTTTTTTTCCTATAATTATAGCATTTTGCTTGGTTTGAATTTAGACAGATTGTGACAAATTCTGGAGTACAAAAATATAACGTATACAGTTTAAAGAAACCAATTGTCCATCCAATTATTAATGATGAGTTGAAAGCTTTCCAAAGTGTTTAAGAGTCTCTGTTTTTAACAACATTCAGCCTTGACTGTTGATTTAATGCTTTATTGATAAACAATACTGGGTGGGGGGGGTCTGACCCTTGAACTGTTATTTCATGTTTTTGTTCTCTCTCTCCCTCTCTCTCTCTCTCTCTGTCAGACCAGACAGTGTTTACTTAGTGCAGGCCTTCACAAGGTGTTTGGAGCGTGTGTGTACATGTGCCCTAGCATTGCCGTCTATGTCCGGGCTTGTCATAATTAGAATGTTGTTCAATTTTTTGGGTTCCCATCCGTCTTTCCCTCTCTCTTTCTCCCCCCTCGTCTCAGTCTATCATTTCTCTCTCTCCTCACCATTCCTCACCTTTCTCCCTGTCCTGGCTGTAGGAGTCTCTCTCTCTCTGTGTGTGTGTGTGTGTGTGTGTGTGTGTGTGTGTGTGAGTGTGTGTGTGTGTGTGTGTGTGTGTGTGTGTGTGTGTGTGTGTGTGTGTGTGTGTGTGTGTGTGTGTGTGTGTGTGTGTGTGTGTGTGTGTGTGTGTGTGTGGTGTGTGTGTGTGTGTGTGTGTGTATGTGTGTGTGTTCCACTGATGCATGCCTCACTTGGACAGTCTGGCTTGGCTATGAGCCCGCACTCTTGTTGCTTTGCTGTGTTTGGAAGTTTTTGACTGCAGAGTTGACTATTGAGAGTAAAGCACTAGAAGATGTACTACGTGAAAAAGAAGGTAAAGCCTTTTTTCTTCTGATCATAGGGTTATTTTGTGTGTTAACATGTGTCTATTTCAGTGTGGATGGATACATGTCAACAGTGTCTGTTATTGGATGCATTAGTACAGTTCAGGCTGCAGTGATAACTATTGGGATTTCTTTGTATAATTCAATGATTTTAAACATTAAGTGTAGGTCAGTTTGTCTTTTTAATGGTGAATCAGCTGATGTTAATTGGTGGATAATGAACTCATGTTTGAAGAAAGTAATTGTTTGATGTGTATTATTAGAAGGGGGGGCATAAGGACTTAAAGTAATTTAGTAGTTTTTTTTTTGCCTTCTGACTTTTCTTTTCTTTTCGAGAGAGGGCATCAAATCAATAACAATTGCAGCAGCCACAAAGCAGTTTTCTTCTAAGCTACAATAAAAGGGCCTCACGGTGTGCGTTAAGTGTGTCACCTCACACACGTTAGGGCAACCAATCGTTCCTCTTTTCAAACACAGTGGAGAGTATAAGAGGGGAATGGCTGGCAATTAGGCAGATTACGCCTGTGTTTTACAACTTGTCTCGTATAGCCCCAAGGAGGCTTCTGTGGAGACCTCACTGCAACCGCCGCTCACTTACACTCTCTCACATAAAAACACACAAGTTTGTGTCTCTGCATATTTCATGATTTTATCTACAAATCACGGTTGTTTTGCATGCATCACAGACAAAGTGCTCGGGGTTTATCATGGACACTAGGCAGTTACACATGCACCCGTCCCACACACATGCAGCATAAAACTACTTGTAATCTGACCTCCCCTTAAGTCTCCAAACCCTTGTCTCTCCGGCACCTCTACCTGTGCCCTCCCTCTGCCTCTCTGCTCCCTCCCTCCTTCTTTGCCTCCCTCATTCTCTTCCCTCTTCTTTTTCTCCCCAGTCCCAATACAACATGCTGAGCAGCAGCATGGAGAGCATGGGGAGCCGTGCAACGTCCGCCAGCCCCTACAGCTCCGAGAACGCCTCCTCGTCCACCGTGCCCACTCCCTCACCCTACTCACAGCCCAACTCCACCTTTGAGGGCCTGTCCCCTGCCCCGACCATCCCCTCCAACACCGACTACCCCGGACTGCACAACTTCCAGGTGTCCTTCCAGCAGTCTAGCACCGCCAAGTCTGCCACATGGACCGTGAGTACACACACTTTATTGGCTTTGGCATGCAGTGTGTGTGTATGTGTGTACATATTTTTTATTTCGCTCTGTCTTACTGAGTAATGACTGGACGCACACACATGAAAATGCACATTATTTCTCACACACTCACTCAAGCCTCCACATGTGCAGGCATGTTGTGTGCAAGAGAAAGTAGAGCATCATTCAATGATTCATCGTTACCTCCACTCACCTCTCGTAGTAACATCTGATGTGATGAATGCAGCAGGGAAAGTTCGGTACGAGGGCTAGAAAGATTTATCCTTGGTCATCAATCTATTAAAAGCAAACAAAGTTTGACTTAGAAGTTTAAAAATAAACATTTTATTCTCTAGAACCATTTTATCCCATAAAGAATAAAGTTAATTATAGTTTTAGCTACAGTCCTCAATGAAGAGTTTATGTATAATGAGTTTATGTCTAGAAATTGTCACCACAATATATCGTAATTGCAATGTATAACAAGAGGCTGGTACAGAATGTCAGTTATTCCCTGCTTGTAAGTGTGTATCGACATATGGTGTTACTTTTGTTTATGAGCTACAGAAATTGTAAGAAAAATCTAAATTTCTACTACTCTTGCCACTAATACACAGTTGCAGTAGTCGAGTAGCTTTAACAGTAGGAGTACAATACTGAAAGGATACATTTGGCCATGTTATGGGGTACATAATAAACAATAAACAAAATTACCTGGGCAAGACGTCATCGAACAACTACCTAAATGGTGGTGAGGGACAGGTGAAATGGGAGCAGTGTAATTTGTCATGACCCGATGAGAAGTCTCAAGCTGGAAAGGTGTCACCTCCGTCTGTCACACAGTTGACCTCCCTGACACAAGAGAACCAAGAGACAAACTGCACTTCCTTCATGTGTGTGTGTGTGTGTGTGTGTGTGTGTGTGTGTGTGTGTGTGTGTGTGTGTGTGTGTGTGTGTGTGTGTGTGTGTGTGTGTGTGTGTGTGTGTGTGTGTGTGTGTGTGTGTGTGTGTGTGTGTGTGTGTGTGTGTGTGTGTGTGTGTGTGTGTGTGTGTGTGTGTGTGTGTGTGTGTGTGTGTTCAAATGAGGGGCTCCTCCACAGCTCTGTTTGCTGGAAGTAACCATGCGTGCTTGGCTCTTTTACTCAGCGATGTAAGAAGATCCCCCTCTGGACATTAGTGCGGTGGTCTTTGACCTGCTGCTTTTCTTTGTCTGTCTCTTTCTTCCTCTGGTCTTAACACACACTCATGGCTGTCACCTCTGGTGCCTTAAGTTTCGTCCATACCCTCTCCTAAAATATGTCTATCATCCCCTTTCCCTCGCTTTCATTCTCTGATTCAGGTGTTTCTCACGGCCTCACTACAACGGCAGAAACTGAGGAAAAAACAAGTATTAGCATGTTTTACCTGAGAAATAACTGCAATGAAATCCTGAAATAAAGTTTCAACCTTGGTTAAACTTAATGAATTACTGTTCTGCCCCCTCAAATTATGTGTATCTGCCATCCCACTGGATTTCAGTTTAGAATAGCCCTACTAACTTAAGTGAGGAAAGCATGACAATTCCCAAGGGTGCCTGCCAACAGATTATTTTACGCCACTCAGCAATCCAATCTAAACCTTTTTGCAACAAAATAAGCTCCTCTTAAGGACATTTGTTTGCAAGGGTATTTTTACACACCAAGAAGACCCTTTGCAACCACCTGCACTAACATATCTAGACAGTTTTTTTGCACCAAGCAACCATAGACATAGGACAATGTTTTCATCAGATGATGACGCAGGAGGAAAAGGATTGTGAGGAAACCAGTGATTATTCAGATTCCTCTGCTGCCATTAAAACGGAAGGATTAGAACAAGAAAGAGACCGGGGGATTGCTCATAGCTTTTATGGAGTTTACTGTAAAGCTTAGTTTATAGCCTGCATGTATTTATTATGAGATTCATGAGGAATCAGAAGATGTATTTAAGTGTTATTATGCAAAAGCTTCAGAACAAAAACCTTTTTAATGTGTAAAACTGATGCAGTATGATCATGTGTGATATGACACTATTAATCGCCTAACAAGAAGCCTTCCAGATCTCAATACACTAATACAGGCATTCAGTAGTTTGGTAATATTTCATTTCATTTAATTTCAAACCTTTATTTAGACAGATAAATCCCATTGAGATCATTGATCTCTTTTTCAAGGGAGACCCGCTCAAGTAGTTCCACATGAAACATAAAAACATAAATAGAACAACAAAAGGACATCATACAGCATCAATATTAAACAGAACAAACCAAGAAAGCCAAGACTAGGCCAGGTTTGACATTATGTTGGCGGGTAATATTAAAAGTGTGAGTTGAAAAGAAAGGAGATTACGCACTAGCCTCTCGGAATGAATACTTGTGCACTTATGGGAGGGGATTTTCCAAAAAAGAAACAGGGGTGCATGATTATTTGTGTCTTATGTGCATTTAAATCTGGGTGTGTCTATTTATGCAAAATGCATTGCAAGACCCAGGTTTGAACATGCTTGAAACAAAAGGATGGCTATGTGGACCAAACTGAGTAACCTTGTTTGAATGAAGGAGTTAACAGTCTCTTCTTGCTGATTTCTTGTTGTGGCCTCCGGCAATGGGGAATGCCGAATGCCATAGGGGCATATTGACTATAATCAGTCACCTAGCCGCCCCTTGTTCCCACCCCTCTGCCTCCCACTAAGAGCGGGTGGCATACAGTGCTTTGGGAGATTACGAGAAATGTCTATTGCCTCAAGCATTTCTCATTTAATCCCATTTTCTCAAGTTGTCAACTGATTGATTGACGTTGGGGTTTGTGGCTGCATACAACTGGCCAGTCCTCCATGGAGAGTAAAAGGAAGGGAAGAGAAGTAAAGAGAAGAGATCGGAATAGAAGATACAATTCCTTTTTTCTATTATTATGATGTTTCCACATGCATTAAGCCATCCAAGCCCATGTTAAGCTAGTCTGGTAATCCTCCAGTCCCCCTCCTGTCTCAGCAAGACACTGTGCCTTACTGACAATAGCTCTGAGATTCTGCTGCTGTCTTGCCTCTTGAAGATGATTCCTTGGCTTGGACGCCAGCCTCATCGTTGCTGGAAATGAGATCTAACACCTCGGCCTTGTCAAATAATAAGACCTCTTTCCGTGCACTCAGACATCAGTTTATGTGTGCGTGTGTGTACAGTATGTGTCAGGAGTGGGAGGGAGTGTGATGCGCTGGGTGCGGGCTCGAGCATGCACTGCAAGGCGGCTTGTCAGAAGCTGCTCTTCCCAGCTATTAGCCTCTCTCCGTTAGGATGCAAGTCTCAACACGTCTTGCATAATGCATCCTTCCCTTCCTTTCCCAATCATCTGTGGCCACAACTGAATTGGCCAACCTGCAGTGCATCAGATCTGAGAAAACTCACTTGGAACATTTCCACGCACATTTCTTTGCTCAAATGTATTTTATCAACACACAAGTAAATACATTAAGTTTGTGAGTCGGATCCATGTGTACAGCAAATGCAAGTTATTTGTAATAGTTATAAAAGTAGATAAAGGGCATGAAGAAAACAGCGTTATTGATATCTTTGATGAATGGTCAGGAAATGTTCTGGACTACTGTGTAACACTATTTGTATGCCATCATGTCAAGAAGACTGTGTGCCAGTGCTTTAAATTCATCCTTTAGTGTGTCTAATAGCCGGCATCATGAAGACTTTACTGTGGACATTTTAATTACTAAATATTGTTTGCCCAAAGGTTTTAAATGACTCATCAATCACATAATGGTTAGAACTACAGGGTACCAGATGAGATAAGAGCTGCCTGTTTTCAAAGAATCAGCCTCTGTATGTATAATTACAGACTGTATAGAAATCGAGCTTAGGCTGTGTGGATGTTCACGTCTTGCTCAAAGTCAGCTCTCTGTGGCTGTATGTGCCAACGCATTTCATATTTGGACAGTTAAGCGAATTTGCGGCGGGCAAGCCGTTGCTTGTAAATATGGATGACGGTCTGGCAATTATCACTCTGTTTGTAGGAGCCTGTCAGGACCTGCCTCCACTGGTCCACCGCGAAAATGCGGGCCAGGGCTGGATGGCTAAATTAATGAATAGATCAATAGGATTTCATGGAAATTGAAACTTTATAGTAAGTTACAAGATAATTCTCTTAAAAGTCATCATCATATAACATTTTCAAGTGAATTGCAGGATGTGTTCCGGTCATTTGATGAAATCGGATTTATAGATGGGCTGCTGATGTATTTTATAGCTCAACAGATTTCAATTAAAATGGGTGGAACGTTAGACAATGAGCCAAGGTTTATGGTGTAGATTCAGGAAATGTTAAGGATTTTCTAAGCAGTTTTTTAACTTTCACATTTCATATTATTCAATCTTTTCCCTCTTCCTTTTGTAAATGTCCTCTTGTCACTAACCGTGAAGATATTTTCCAGATCATTGACAAAGCAAATAATCTCTTAAGCCTTTAAGCTTGTTTGTTTTCCTTTGATCTTTTTCTCATTTCTCTCCATTCATTCACTTTCTATATGACCTGAAAGGAAGCCCAGGTTATTAATCACTCAGCATTTCTTGTCTCAACCACAGCATACACATCAGATACTGTAATTACATTTTTGCTGAAGTTCACTTCTGACAATGACCCATGGAGCTGAACTCGAAGATGTGTGTGTGCATGCCTATGCCTTGTCGGTGCATGTGCACACTTGTCTGTGTTGTGGACGAGTTGAGACATCTGAACCCCCAGAACAAAAAGGTAGTTTAGAGTATTTCTTTCATGCTCTTTGTGATGTTCAAAAACAATACTAATACTGGCCTCCATTGATCCCACAGCTTAGAAAAAAAACTAAAAGGTTTTAATTTTTTTTAAGCTGTTTTTCAATCCAACAGGATTTTAGGGTGTAGGTGGAATTTCAAATCCCTATTGACCACATTTCAGAACAGTATGTAAGGTGGAAACCTTTTTAGTCATAGCAACGGTTAGAGTATTTTTAAGTGACAGAGAATACCGTCTTTTCCTTCACATTTGAAGTTTTTGTCTTTGTAAATTACTAGTAAGAGAATCTCTGAGAAATTATTTATTCATGGTATGGACGTTCTGTCGAGACTTGTCGGGAAAAGCTAGGTGGGAAAAGGCAATGTTGTTCACAGGTATTTCCATTGCCCCCTCAGGGTTGGGCTAAAGGTGTGTGTGTGTGTGTGTGTGTGTGTGTGTGTGTGTGTGTGTGTGTGTGTGTGTGTGTGTGTGTGTGTGTGTGTGTGTGTGTGTGTGTGTGTGTGTGTGTGTGTGTGTGTGTGTGTGTGTGTGTGTGTGTGTGTGTGTGTGTGTGTGTGTGTGTGTGTGTGTGGGTGGGTGGGTGGGTGGGTGGGTGGGTGGGTGTGTGTGTGTGTGTGTGTGTGTGTGTGTGTGTGTGTGTGTGTGTGTGTGTGTGTGTGTGTGTGTGTGTGTGTGTGTGTGTGTGTGTGTGTGCTTAGTAATGGTATCACAACAAGGAATCCAAACCAATCCATGCAGTTGTTGGTGTAGGAATGACTCTTTTCCCAGCCGTCTGGGAGAATCAAATCAGAGTCTGGATGATGAAGTGGGAACTTCAAGAAGTTATTAAATTTTCATTTTTGTATTGAATAGTTTTTCATGCAATATAAAGAACCTTAAATCCTGGAAACTCTTAATAGCAGTAGGGTACAGAAGTAACAAAGTCCAAAGAAAGTAAATTGTAACTTATATCCAAAATGATGGATGAGTGGGGAGAGATTCTGGAAATCAAAGGAAAGAAAAAAGAAATGTATTTTTTGAAAAGACAATTGAGGAGAGAATTGTAGTGGACCTCCGGAGTGGTAGAGCAGCTACTTGGACACTACCAACATGGATGGTTGATATATGCTTCCAAGACTTTCTAAAATCACTGAGAATTAATGGTTAATACTTGGCTAAGAGATTTGGTTAATGGAAACCAGGGTTTAAGTCAAAGGCTCAAAACATACTCATCTAAAAAACTCCATGGACTATTCAACAAATAAAGATGATTTGATTATATATTTCAGACAAAGTTTGGGGAACATATGCTATAAATGGGATTCAAGGAATGCTATGAATGGGTCTATGAAAAAGGTTGGGTTTGACCGTTCATTAGTGCGATTGTGTCACTCTCTGTACTCTACAATACTGCATTAGCCACATGCACTATTGTATAATGTATTCATGCTCATAACAGGATAACAGTCTTCTTATATTTTTCTGAAAGCTCTGTTTGATTTCCACAGGGAATATTTCTGAGATGTCCTGATTGTGTTGGGGCATGTTTAGGCTTCTCCATCACTTCTCCCGGTGTCTTTGGATGCATATGGCATTTACATACACACATGTGCGTATGCATGCGAAAATGCTTGTTAACTGAGGAATGGCTAAAGACTTGTCTTTATCCCCGCTCAACATATTTCCCTCCACCAGTTGTAGCATCTCACATTGCTGCCAAAAAACCCAGTCTGATAATAATCATTTATTAATTTTAAAGCCATATAATTACCTATACTACGCAGTAGGGCTGCACGATTTTGGGAACAAATCTAATTGCGATTTTTCTGACAAATATTGCGATTGCGATTCGAATTGCGATATTTGTTTTTAAGCGACCCAACGGAAGTTTATTGTAAAATGCGGCCATAACTCCGGCTAGGAAGGTCGTATCAACGTGCTCCCGTCTCTAGCACCCTCGCAGACCGAGCTACGAGTGAAATAACTAAACTTACATGAAACTTCCGTTGGGTTGCTTTAAAGTCAAGCTTCAGTTTAAGATTCACCCTGTCATAGAAACATGTGATGGAGCATTACTAACCTGACTCAGATGGTTGGTTTCACCAAAGCATCTAAAGCTCCATTGGAAGCCATTTGGAAAGGGCAGGCACTTTCAAAAGCACTTGGCAGGTGATTGGATCAATCTGTCTATCACCTTCTATCATGGGCTACTTCTGATTGATTAACAATGGCTGGTACATGTGGAGCACAGCACTTCTGATTGGTGTGGATGTCTGACACACAATAAAAAAAAAATTGAAATAAAATCGCAGGCTTTGCGATTTGATAATCGCATCATTACAAATCGCGATTTCAATTTAAAATCGATTAATCGTTCAGCCCTACTACGCAGACGATAATTTACCACACATTTACCGTCCTTATGTATTTTCCCAATCCTTTTCCTTTCCTGCTCTCTATTTCCTGAGATGACACAATTGGTTCTTCAGTTATAATTGTATGTGATGATTAACAGGATCCTGTGGTCGAAGGCAGCTGTTATTCTCACATTATTACCCAGCTCTTTATTTGTCCACCTAGTTATTTAAAATAACAAAACAATTATTTTATCCGTGTTGATTGAACTTAATCACATGTTATTTCAACATATTTCCCCTCCTGAGACAATATTCTTGCTATGATGTCACTGGTAGCAGAGATTAACCCTGCCACCTTTTTTTATCTCGTTTGCTTCTTGACTTTTTATGAAAATGTGAAAAGACAACTCTCTTCTCTGTCTTTAATTTGCAGCGGGTTGCTCAGGAATTATTTTGATAACTCAAGGAGAAAGAACAACTTCCTGCAGATAGGATAAACAACGTATTCGCATAACTGATATAATAATTTAGTTGGACAAAGTATTAGTACACATCCCATGCAACTGACTGACTGTATATTATCTCGGAATACCCAATGTCTCAGCTCTTTCATGTATCATTAAACACCATGTATCAAACCAGACCACTGACTCGAGCCTCTCTGGTCCTGTGTGTTCTCCCCCCAGTACTCTCCCCTGCTGAAGAAGCTCTACTGTCAGATCGCCAAGACCTGTCCGATCCAAATCAAGCTGGCCGCCTCTCCTCCTCATGGCAGCATCCTCAGAGCCATGCCCGTCTACAAGAAGGCAGAGCACGTCACAGAAGTTGTCAAACGCTGCCCCAACCACGAACTAGGACGAGACTTCAATGATGGTATGACCGACAAATCTAGTCTTTTGATCCTTAACAGACCCCAATAGTATGCCCAATTATTTAGTTGTTGGGTGAAAAATGATGTGTTAGGAAGTAAATAACTGTGAAATCATGTAGTATACATAATTCATCAACCATTGCATGTTGTGCAATCTGTCTTTTATGTGTGATGCTTGGACTAAGATTGACCAACTCCTCACCTCTTATTCCATCCTTGTCTCGCCAGGTCAAGCTGCCCCGGCCAGTCACCTTATCCGAGTGGAGGGGAATAACCTCTCTCAGTATGTGGATGATCCTGTCACTGGCAGGCAGAGTGTCTTCTTGCCGTATGAATCTCCACAGGTTGGTGCTCCATCATCTGCTGTGTATCAGAGACCCACAATGAATTGCATTAGGTACAGAACTGATGGTCTACTACAGTAAACATAAAACATATATATGAGAAGGGATTTTGAGATATAGATTCTGCTAAGGTTTACATCTTAATATCTTGAAGATGTCTCATAGTTTTTACAATGAGCCGGAATGATGTTATCCAAAAGTCACAATGGATCAGTCGACCTCATGTCAAAGATCCCGTCAATTTCTGTGAGGAACTCAATAGGAAACACATCTATAAATAAAGATGCCTGACAAGTCCAAACAAGTGCAAGAGTAAGAATTCATCATGTGTGTTGTTGCACCTGAGGAGATGATTGAAAGCATCATTGTCTCCCTCAGATCAAAGCGCTCTACAACATTGCTCTCTGGTGGTGGATGGCCATATTTACTGTAACTAAACCAACACAATGTAGCATTCATTTATTGGTGGGATCCACTGTGTTGTGTTTCAGGTGGGGACTGAGTTCACAACCATCCTCTACAACTTCATGTGCAACAGCAGCTGTGTGGGCGGCATGAACAGGAGACCCATCCTCATCATCATCACTTTGGAGTCCAGGGAGTAAGTCCACAAGTCACAATTGCAAACAAGGTTCTTTTTTTTAATCAAACTGAAATGCCCTGCCCTTTGTAATGTGCTGTATTATGATTATTTCAGGCACTGGTACTTTGATTTTAAATGGACATTTTGAATTTGCCATTTTCTCTACAACAGTATACTGGCTACTGATAATGGACACATCCCAAAGTGCCTGACATACTACAGAAGTTGCAGAAGTGCATACAATCAGATGTGTAACATGTATACAACACATCTGACTGTATGCACTTCTAGTATGTCATATTCAGTTCCATTTACCATGATGATGAACCTTTTTGCATATACATACAATTGTGAGGCTTTGCAGTGTTTTGATCCACCAAAATAAAACTAAACTAAAGATATGGAATGTTAAATAACCTACATTTTCTAAGTATATTTTTAACCTCAATTCACTCTGCAGTGGTCAAGTGTTGGGCAGAAGGTCGTTTGAAGGACGGATATGTGCATGTCCCGGCCGAGACCGCAAAGCAGACGAGGATCACTTCAGGGAACAACAGGCCCTGAATGACAGTGTGGCCAAAAATGGCTGTCCCAACAAGCGCAGTAAGTTGAATTCTGTTTGGCTGTTGCCATACATCTAACAATAAACACTGACCAAAAACATCCAGGATGTATTTATCCTAAAAGAGATTGTGATTTTGAATTGTTATATGTAACCTGAGCATAATTCTGTTTCTGTCGTTTACAGACTTCAAACAGAGTCCACCAAATATTCCCAGTCCAAATATTAACATGAGGAAGAGGCGCCATGGAGAAGAAGAAATTTACTATATTCCTGTAAGAGTCTATCACACTGATGCAACGACTACAAGACAATCAAATGGTATCAAACACTGAGAGCAAATGTAAAAGGATGTGCTCGCAAGTCATTATCATTATGTGTTGTGTGTAGGTCCGTGGTCGGGAGAACTTTGAGTTGCTGATGAAGATTAAAGACAGTTTGGAGCTGGTGGAGCTTGTGCCACAACCGCTGGTGGACTCCTACAGACAACAAACACAGCAGCAGCTTCTGCAGAGACCGTGAGTCACTCCAACACTAACGTATGCACAGGCACACAGACAGCAGCTGGAACACAGACTGTATGTTAAAAGTGTGACCGTAAAAATTAGATTTTCCCAAACACACACAAAAAGGTACATAAAGAACACACACAGTTTACTTGATAACCACTGCTTTTGCTGACGTCTATGAGTAGAAAAAGGAAGAGGTAAAAGTTTTAAATACTTTTTGACTTCCTTATTTCTTTACGTTTTTTAGTAACAAACAATATACACATTTCTCTAACCTTAACCCCATTTTCATCCTTTCTCAAGGAGCCATATAGCATCCCCCTCCTCCTACTCTCCAGTGTCCAACATGAACAAGCTTCATACCCACGGAGGCCTCAACAAACAGTCCTCAGTTAACCAGCTGGTGGGGCAGCAGCACCAGCAACACCCCTCTGCCCCCATCTCCATAGCTCATATGGGTAGGTGTTTACTGCATGTCTGAATCAAATCACATTCATTTAAACTCATTGCATGTTTAAAACCAATTCTGCTGCCTATTATTTCATTGATCACCCCTCTTTTTCACAGGTTCTAACATGCTCAACAGCCACCACATGCAGGGGAATGGTGATATGAATGGTGGCCACAACAGTCAGACTATAGTGTCTGCCTCCCACTGCAGCCCACCCCCTCCATATAACCCTGACCCCAGCCTCGTCAGGTACCTCACCCTCCAATGACACTATTTATTTATCCTCCTGTAAAGGGCCTGCTGACAATTAGATGCACTTGTTGGGTTAAACATTAATGGGTGCCAAGTTGATGCCAAAACAGATCGTTTGTTTGGCATTGTTTACGCACATTTGGTCAAACTGTTTTTTGTAAAAGTTCCCAATGTGTTTAGATGGAGCTGTGTTATCTAGTAAACAAGTACAATTGGATTATGGCTGCTTTGTAAAAGCTTGCAAATACATCAGAAATCTCCTCACTCGCATCCATGGCTGGTGCCATAATGAAGGTCCACTTAAGAAATGGCTGCATGGAAATAATGTCTTTACATACATACAAAATGGGGGATGTTATTTAAATGTTATGGTCGAAGATTCATTCAGTAATGTGTTAAGTAAAAGTGAAGTGTGTAATGGTATGTTTGTTACCACAGTTTGACCACTAAACGGTTCTGGGTCTGCAGAAGAACAATTATGACCAAAAGTATCTTTGTTAGCTGCTGAAAAGTAATTTGCAAAACAGTTGATATTCTTGTCCAAGCTAGTTAGAAATGTGATGAGCTCCTATCTAAAAACAGCACATTATTCATGTCTGTTTATGCTGCTCATACAGCTAAGCAGCTCAAGAGTTGTAGACCTCCACTATGGCTGCCAGAGGGTTTGATATGTCACCCAAAAACCCCAAATGGGTATCATACACTTATATAGATGTTATACACAATCTTAAGTCGTTCTCACTGTCATTATGTATAGTGTCCTATGCAATGCACTACAGCACATTTTCTTTAAAAGAGATGTTCATTGTTGTTCTGTTGAATTGAAAACAGTTTTTTTCCATATATTTCTAAGATAACTTGTCAATGCAGTTGTTTCAATACTTAGACTTTGCTTTTGCAATTTTTACATTTTTTCTTTTTCCACTTTTTGGGTTTCTAGATTGTTGTGTATTTTGTACAGTTAAATTGTACAGTTAGCTTCTTTTTCAATTACACTGTATGTTGCCAAAACGTTAACATTTCATGTATTTATAATAAAGGTTCTTCATCAAAGCAAGAATGGCCTTATGAATCATTAATATAAATGCATGTGTTTTTGTTTTACTTCCACTGCATCTGTCAAGATGTAAACTTTCTGTACACTTGAGGCTCAATCTATGACCTTTATCTTACACTCAGTTAAAAACTTAATTAGATAATAAAGAAATATAATAAGTTACTTTTCTCTACAATTGTGTCTAAAATAAATACTGACCCTAACATTTTAGTAAGGATATTATGTATTCTTAAGTATAAATACACCTTTCATCAGTGTTAAGCAAGTTGATTTTGATTTTAAAGTCATACTTTTGTAGCTGTGGTCCAATGGCAGTCTAAGCAGCCCTGCTTTTCTCCTCTTACAGTTTTCTAACCAGTCTGGGCTGTCAGAACTTCATTGAGTACTTCACCTCCCAAGGCCTCCAGTCTATCTACCACCTCCAGACTCTCACCATGGAGGTAACCTCTTCGTTCCTGCACAATCTCACAGTGAATTATAACAATGACAAATTGCTCTTCAGAATAAGGGTGAAACTAGATACCTGTAGCAATGATGATTGTGATATTCAAATATTAAATATTAAATCATGTTTATAATAAACACATGATAGTAAAGTGAATAATCCAGTGCTTCTTAAATAATTTGTTGCGTTTCCTGTTGTCTCCTCCCCCAATTCATTTGCCAGAAAAGAGTAAAAATGCCAATAAAAACCTAGTTAATTTAAGTGAAGTTACGTTTTTGATTGATAGCATTTCTATTTTTTAAATGTTCAAAATGTTGGTAGATATTGCGATCTATCTTTATTGTTAATGATTTGGCCTACAGTATCAACAATCTGATAATGTGACAGCCCTACTTAGAAAGAAAAAGTGCAAAACACCGTTGTATGAAGAGAGCAAGGCTCTCATAGAAAGCTTTTGCAAAGCATTGAAGTATTTTTGCCCAGTCTTACCAAAGGTACCCGGCGGAGTATTTAGGACCCCTAGTGGTGATGTAGAGTATTGTTATAAGCAGCCTCCCATTTTCAAGGAAACAGACGATGCACATGAACTCCTATTTTCCTTCTTTGTTCAGAGTTTTCTCCTACATTCTCACACTCCAATGTCTAATTTGTTGCCATCAACAGGATTTAGCTGCACTGAAAATACCGGAGCAATTCCGCCTTGCAATCTGGCGAGGTCTGCAGGACATGAAACAAGTTGCTCCCCTCCAACTGCCTGCCTCCACTCATCACCATGACTATCATGGCCAGCAGCTCCTTCGCTCCAGCAGCAACATGACTGCCTCTGCCATGGCCGCCATTGGGTCTGCCAGTGGGGAACTCCAACGTCAGCGCGTCATGGAGGCTGTGCACTTTCGTGTCCGCCACACCATCACCATCCCCAACCGGGCAGGTGTTGTTGGGTCGTCAGGGATGGCAACGGGTGCTGATGAGTGGGCTGACTTTGGTTTTGATATGCCCGACTGCAAGCTGTCACGTAGCAAGCACTCCATCAAGGAGGAGTTCATGGATAGTGATGTTCATTGAGCCTGAACAAAGTCTTTGGACCGTTTCTCCAATACTTTTGTCAGCATCATCCTATTTACAAATTAAACACATGTGGATTGGGTCTCTGAATGTTGTTTTAGGTGTTGATGTCATGTTTCAGTAGGGATGGCCGGGTATCGTTTGAAATGTATCGATGCCGGTTCTGCTTAACGATTCCGGTTCTTATCAATTCCCCGTTTCGATTCAAAAATTGTAAAAGAAAGAGGTCAAACGTTTAGATAACAAACATATCTTTATTCTTTTAAGCTTTAACTGACATTTTTACAAATAAAAAATATACATGCAATACAAATGTATTGCACAATAGCTGTCTTTATTTTAACTGAGCTATGCCTGTGGCAAGCTATTAACAGGCATTACACTGTGCCTTGTCTTTTTCTTTTTTAGTGTAGTGGAGCATCACTTTAGAGCGTTTACCGCGATCCATCTTTGTTATGAAGTGACTGAGCTCGTGAACTGTCTACGGGGCAACTGTGGACCTCTGTCGCCTGTCAGCGCAACATACATGATGCCGTTAAAAAAAATTAATGTCGGTGCCGGCCGTAAGCGTACCGAGCCTGCGGTCAACGGCTTGCTGACGACCGGCCGTTCTGTGATTCTCCAGAACACACAGATGGCCAGTCCGCCCTTACCCTGTATTCCACCGGGTCACCTCGGCGCAGTGGAATACAGGGTCTACCGTGTTTAGGAACCGTTAAGCAGAACCGAAATTGTGTATTTTGTATGGATACCCGGCATTTTCTTATCGGTTCTCACCTGGAACCGAGTTTCGGTTCCCAACCCTGTTTCAGTCAGTGATATTGCAGAGAAACAAGTTTGACTTTGATTGTTGGACATTTGAGTGTGCTAATGCACTTGTCTTTTTTAGTGCTTGAACAATTGTTCAACCCAGAAGAGTGAACACAAAAGGATGTCACAAGTGAGGAATATACTTTTTGGGACTCTTATAAGTGCATGCAGACATGTGTTGTATTTTTTTTCTGCAAACCAAAATGTGTATTGGCTGAAGTGTGAAATAATACATGACACATTTAGTTATTTTACAGCATCCACTTACATCAACAGCGAACATAAAATGTAACAAAATGACAATCGCACAAATGTCACAATAGACTTATAACCATTTCACAACTTGTGTTTGAATAGGCAACATTTGTTCTAAGCTGACTTATTTATTGCTTTGTCAGTTTCCTCTCATCTGTACAAATGTATATATTGTATCTTGTAAATGTTTGCGTCATAGATGTGGTTGAAAAGGGGTATTTTAATTCAGAATGGTGTATTTCTTGTTTGGTAAATCTGGTTTTAAAAGAAATCTCACGGCTATGGGAACACATAGTCATGTATATTTGTAATGGCTATTGAAATGTGATATTCAGCATACCCTTCTCATTTCATTGTTTGAAATTGTTGAATGAGCTTTAGTATTAATAGTGTGTAATCAGTCGACATATACTATGAGAAGTTACACATGTAATCCATTACCTTTTTTATTAAGTCATAGGAAGACTCTAATCCTTGTAAAGAAAGACATTTCAAAACAGTTGAGAAAAAAAACAGTATTATATATTAACAGGGATTTAATCAGAATTGTGAATAATAAATTGGGAATAGCATCCCTGTTTACCACAACACTAGACAAGACTAGCATTTTTGTCTTTCTGTGTATTTGAAAAACCTTGCAGGGCAAGGTCCTCGTATAATGATTATAGCTAGTTGTGTACGTACTTATGTGTATCTTCATGACACTTGTTTGTGGATATGTAATAGCAACATTCCAGGAGATAGAAATCAATATATGGTTTTATTTTTTAGATTGCTATCAAGCACGATTAGTCATGGTGCAATTATATTTGTGTCAAATGTGTTTGTTTAAATACTTGACATTGTACCATGATAATAATTTCTATCTGATTTGTATACTTTGTTATACTTTCACCCGCTAATTACCAACTGGTCGAAAAGAGCACTTTAATGCTTTAAAAGTAAAACAATTTAGGATTATGTGTGCTTATGATCAGTATTATGAATTCCCACATTGTACATAAAAGTAGTTGTTTTTATATACCTAGTAGTTTCGTTATCAGTTTTGTAACAATTATTGAGATATGTACCTGTATATCTATTGCTGTTCATCAATGGCCATTCGTTTTTGAAGTTGTTCAATGTTTCTTTTTTTTAATAATGGATATTAAAATATTTGCCTTCCTTTATAATGTGTCTTTTTCAAAGTCAAAATGTTTTTGATCAATTACCCTGAGTTTATTTGAAAGTGCACATAAATGTTAAGGGTATTTTCTAAATCTAGGCAGTGTTTTACGCGACATGTATCAAAACAAAAACATTTATATTACAGTATACACTTTGGCTTCTGTTCGTTTATGGGTTAGGGCTAGCCTCATCCCCCTCTATTTCAGCCTGTTACTAAAGTGCTGATTCTGGGTCAGTAGCTTCAAACATTCACACTTCAACATAAGGCATGTTATGAGTAAAGATTAAGCAATAACGTTGAGGGAATATGATACAACCTTGAGAACAAAATATTGTGGTCACTACCGAAACACTGGATGTTTTGTAAAAAATTAAGTATATGGACTTATCAAATAAAATGATATGATACTGATTGGTTTAATATGTATGTTCAATTTCAACAATCATCAACTCTGGAATCAATATGATCAGTATTATGCATTTTACAAAGAAAGTTTGCATTATAATTTTTATGAATTGTATAAATTGAACTTTTCAATTTGATTAAAAATGTAATTGCATTGATTTAATTGTGAAAACCCTCAATACATATTTGTTAAAATACTATTTAGATAAGGAAAAGTAAAACAATCTTAACAGGTTAATATAATACTTTTTGACTACAGTGTATGTACTATGTTTCGGTAGTGACCATTTTTGGTAGAGGAAGAACATTCCAATACAGTCTGAAAATACGATATAAAAATATCCGGTTATTTTACTAGATATGTGTAATTTAGATATGTTACAAAATATATGGACAAAGTTTTGGGGAAAAAACATACAACATTTCCAAACTGTTCCAACCTGACTTCGCACCAAGAGTGCCACAGTGACGCATCCTAAAACCCGGAAGTAAACTCCTTCCGGTTCCTTCGACAAAAACCAAAGCAATTTCTCCATAGGATTTTGGAAAATAGCTCGAAATAAGGTCTGTGGTTGACACACATTTAAGAGATGGATCATGTTTTGTTCAGCCGATTAATATCCACATGTCTACCCTACTTTTATAATTTGTTATAAAGCTTTTCCTTTTAGCCACACTGAATTGAACTAGAAGTCATGTCTGTATCAATTACCAGTCTGATATCGTTTTACAAAGATGACAAGAAGAGTGTAGATAGAGGAGAGAACCAGTCAGGAGTCAGGACACAGCAGTGCAGCCTAGATGAAGGTGTACTTACCGGTGTTGTCAGGTCTAGCATGAGGGACAAGGTCTATACATTGTCGGTGAGTAGTGATAGCAAGAGTAGCTACCGTTAACCTAGAGTTAATTTATTCACATTAGTGACATTAATTCCCATCAACAAATCAATGTTATGTGTCACATGAAATCTTTAATACAAATATTACACACCAGAAAACACAGAAATATCTATGAAATAAGCATACAATAGGTTATAAACAATTAAAAAGGGTTAATTGGGAAGGCATTACAAATGTAAATATATTTTAAATAATAAAACAATCCCACCACCACAGGTATCTACAGGAGAAGAGGGAATTTAGGGAACAGAACCTAAATAAAAGAAATAAAATGCACCCAGTTTAAAGACATAGTTTGAGTTTAATGATGAACTCAAAATGTAAAACAAAGTATGAAACATGTTTCTGGACATATGTGTTTACATTGGTTTACATGTGAAAAGACACTATTTTTCTGCCACCTCTTTTATGAGAGGACGTTGGAAGTTCACTAGTGTGCAACATACCTGCACCAGTTTATCTGAGAAGTGCCTCAAGTGAGTGAGATGGAATGAACTTTAGGATCCTAAATTCCTCCAAACGAGCATTTGCTCTCTCGACGTGAATCCTATTTTGTGCGATAAGCTTTGGCCAACTGACAGAGGAATGGTGGAATGTTGACAGTGACTCGTTCAGGAAGAATATTCTGGATTAAGAATCCCTTGTCAGCCAATATCAGATCTCCAGGTTTGAAATGCTGAAGAACACCAGAATCCCGTAGTATTTCTTTGCCACTTGTTGATCCTGTGTATAGTTTGCTGGAGGGCCGGCCCTGACCAATTTGCTGCCCTAGGCAAGATTCAATCTGGTGCACTTTGAGAGCAACATTAGGAGATCTATGGATACATCTCTCAACACCCATATGAAACAGAACTGTAAGCAGATTTTCTTTTTCTTTATGGATATTTTACAAATCACTCCCCTTTCAAACTGTATTGTTGTTTAATAATAACAACTTTTTTGTACTGTCATATAGTATTTTATACCTGTTTTTCCCCTATTCTCTTATTTTTTTATAACTATAATGATCATATAAAGGTGTGCCTTTACCTCACTGAGCTGAGGTTATCAGAGCCTCTCAGTCTTTCAGGAGAGAGCTCTCTAAAGCTCTCCCCCCCACGGCCGCTTACAATGTAAATTCCAATGTTAATAAAAGCACACAGAAGCTACGTTTTTTGGGAGTTTGATTTATTTTAAATGAATACAAATACAAAATTAAAACCTATAATTGCACACTAAAACCATTATTTCAAAAAAAGAACAATTTCACATAAACCTCTGGTTTTTACTGGGGCTGGGGCAGTTCAACTTGATTTTTTGGGGGGGGTGTGTGCCATAGTGTATGGGCGCTGTACACAATATAGGCGTAGTTCTGTTAGTATAAGGTAATAAGATGTACTTTGTTGATCCAAAATCGGGAAATTGTGTTGTTATTTAATTTCTAACTTTATTTCTTTCTATTTTTCTCCCCAATTTTCGCCCCCCCCCCCTATGGGTTGATGCGCCCTTAGCATTCGCCTATACTGCCTGATTGATTGATTGATTGATTGATTGATTGATTGATTGATTGATTGAAAAGTTTATTAACAGCTTGTATATTGGGTACAGTACAGTACAGCTCAAAACATACAATTGTTAAGGGGATGCAGACCAGAGAAAGACTTTCGTCTTGTTTACATCAGGGTCCCCCATTTCCAATTCATCATGTCATTTAAGACATATAAGACATGTTTGACATACAGATGGCTTAT